CAGTGAGCTGCTAGCTCTGAGTTGCGGCGGGTGTGCGGGCCGCCACGACGAACGAATGTGACGTCAGCGACACTTCGACTCAGCAGATCAGCAACGCGATCGAGCACGCGTGACAAGAGCGTGGATTCCAACGGTAGTGTCGCGTGAACAGTGGTGCTACCTGGCGACGTCTGAGAAGAATTCATGGCACTATTGTCGTCAAGAAGTTCCAGTAATGGTATCGAGGCAGCTAGGTCAACAGGAACGTCCTTCGACTTCACCGGCAAATGGTTTAGCAACGCTGCACACGGACTCCTGCGTAATCAAGGCCAGCGCGAGCGCTAGCAGCGGACAAGTCATGAAGTCAGCGTCAGGAAAAAGTGACAGTGACTGCTCATCGGACGTCTTCACGCGGATGAATCGGATAAAGAAAACCCCTCCAGCTCCGACGGAGAGCTGCTGCTACCGGACGAACGTAATGTCTGATGCACGGCCGAAGAGGTACCACAGGAGGCACAACAACGCAGCATCTTGGTAGTCCGACGCACAGCGAGCCGTTGAATATAAGTAGCGTATCATCTTCTTGAGATCCTCTTTTGTGCACGCAATAGCCTTCTTGACGAACCCACCACTTTCACGCTTGATGCAGTGCTGTTCAAGGGTACGCCCCATGCTGAGCAGCTGTCGTGCTACAGCGCCACCTTGAACAGGATACTCATCCAAAAGCCAGCATTTGACCTGGCGGAAGTATTGAGCGACGGAGTGGCGCGACAGAGGCTGCCCCTTGCTCCTGCGTGGAATGCCAGGTACACACCAAACTTGTCCATTAGAGTCACTAGTATACTACTCGCGCGACTAGAGTCTGCGACGACTAAAGCCACGACGTGCTCCATGGTAGTATTCTCTAAAGACAGGAAGCGCTCAAACGCTTTTAAAGCCGTCGCACGCGCGCGCTTTGTGTTGGCGGGCTTCAAGTCGTTCAGGCTCATTGTTCTTGGTCGGAGAGGTAGAAATATGCAGGTGATACGTGGCAAACCTTTAGCAAGTATTACTATACACATATCTGGTCGTCAACTCCGACTAGATACGTCGGAATCGCTCAGCTTCCGACTGCACCCTAAACTATAGTTTTTGGATATAATTGTATTCTTGAAGCAATTTGATTCGCCCAATGCAACGGAGATCGCTTTAATTGGCTATAAAGAATAAGAAACGATTATCATTGGCTAGTGCGCAACATACTAAAAATAAGATACGTCGGAGAGATAATGTTATCCAAAATTTATCGGACCGGATGACCTTATCGGACCTATGTGTTGTACACAGCTTATCTCAGATAGGTACGAGGTTTAGGCCGGACTGTCGCCAAAATGGTCTTGGGTGATTTGGAAATTGGAAGCGACTGTGGACTATATGAAGAAAGACCCACTTTACTTGATCCTTTCTGATGTGGGTGCCGACGTTTTACGCTGATTTACTAATGGTAATTGCCCGCCACCTCCATGCTGGACATAAATGGGTGAGCTACGTGCTTGTCACCTACATGCAACATGAATGGTGTGATGTCACCAATACTCGAGTCACTCGCGCAGTGGCACGTTTTCCAAAATTGCGGCATACCTGGTCATCAATACGTACTTGTACAGTTTGTCATGAGCTTTATACTTCTATTGATACAGACAACAGCAAACTTTTTGACGTTGCTCTGATAAGAAGGGAGTGAGTCGTATACTCCACAATGCAAACTTCTACCGTGGAGCTAATACGATCACCGCCGCGAACGCAAGTACTTTAAGCCTAAAGAAGCAGCACCTAGAGTGCAAACTTACTCGTTCTTAACCATGTGCTCAATCAGGTCCAGCACACGCGAGCTGTATCCCCACTCATTGTCATACCACGACACAAGCTTCACGAAGTCATCTGTCAGGGCAATACCGGCCTCGGCATCAAAGATCGACGAGTGCGAGTCGCCGATAAAGTCGCTCGACACCACAGCCTCCTCTGTGTAGCCGAGAATGCCCTTCATCTCGTTCTCACTGGCCGACTTAATGGCAGCCTTAATCTCGTCGTACGAAGCAGGGTTC